GTCCGCTGTGAGTTTCCTCTCCACTCACCATCATGGACAGCACTGTGGCTGCAGCAGAGTCATTCAGGTTCCTGGGCACCACCATCTCTCAGGACTTGAAGTGGCACAATCATATTGACTCCATTATTAAAAAGGCCCAACAAAGGTTATACTTCCTTCTCCAGGTAAGGAAGTTCAACCTGCCACAGGAGCTGCTCACACAGTTCTACTCAGTCATCGAGTCTGTCCTGCACTTCAATAACTGTCTGGTTTGGCTCAGCTACAAAATAATATATTAGAAGACTACAGAGGATGGTTCAGACTGCTGAAAGGATTTTTGGTGCTCCCCTGCTCACCCTTCAAGAACTGCATATATCCAGAGGAAAAGGGCTCAGAAAATCACTCTGGATCCCTCATATTCAAGCCTTCTTGAACTTTTGCCATCTGGTCGGCACAACAGAGCACCGAACACCAGGACAGCCAGGCACAAGAAAAGTTTCTTCCCCCAGGCAAACTACCTCATGAACAGTTAAATGCTGTCCCCATTGTGCAATAAAAATATGTGCAATACTACTTCTTACCATCTTAGTCCATCCCTACATTTTACTCTATTCCATCTATAGCACACCTGTATACATACAATTTGTCTATTTTTATTTATATATACACATGTGTATTTTATTCATATATCTTTATTTTTTTATTATCTGTGTTGTTGATGTCTGTTACGGAAGGAGACTCACACAGAGGATTAGAAAAACACAAGGGTAGTTTATTCTCAGCAAGTGAAGCAGATGGTACGGGCAGGTGAGTATTTGAGCTTTATATCAGTCTTTAGGGAAGATGAGGAGAGTAACACCGTATTTGGACCTCACAGGAGATCGTGGAAGGGAGACAGAGGACTTCACACACCTCAGCTGATGAGTACACAGAGTTTCCAAGAAGCTGATGACTGGAACGGACTAGGGAATGGAACACAGGAGAACACACTGGAGGAAACACAGGAGGTAAGTATAACAGGCAGGTAGGTCTTTCAATGTATCTCACAGATAGCATAGAGAGAGTCCACTTCGTTGAAACGAGACCGGACACTGGAGTGAAGTGAGGTGTGTGCTTTTGAAGGGGAGCTAATGATGATTGCAGATTTGTGACAGGTGCCTGTGATCAGTACTCAGGTGATGGTGTTCGCTGTGATTGGGAGGTGGCTGAGCCTGGCCGATCTGTGACAGTACCCCCTCCTCCACGGCCCACTCCTGAGGGCCGAAAACCCCAACGTCGTGGTGGCCTACCTCTTCCTCGGGGCCCAGGGCGATCTGGATGAGTGGAGTGAAAGGTTTCCAGCAGCGTGGGATCGAGGATGTCAGCTCTGGGAACCCATGAACGTTCCTCTGGCCCATAGCCTTCCCAGTCCACAAGATATTCTAAGAGACCACCACGGCGCCGATGATTTCAGTGGTTTCCATAGCTGTGGGTAGGCCCTTGAGGGGGAGAAGACGGCAAGATTTAGAGAATCGATCAATGACTATAAGAACACATGTGTTACCATCCAAGGCCGGTAGATCAGTGATGAAATCAACTCCTAGGTGTGACCAAGGGCAGTTGGGAATGGGCAGCGGAAGGAGCTTGCCAGATGGTAGGTGGCATGGGCTCTTGGAGATGGCACATTCGGAACAGCCTTGGACGAACCTTCTCACATCCCTGGCCATGTTGGGCCACCAGAAGCGATCTTTCAGCAGCGAGATGGTGCTGTTGGCCCCTGGATGGCCAGTGCCCAGAGAGGTAAAGCAGTTCTTTATTCTCCATTCTCAGTCGTCATCATTTTTTCATTTCTACAATTAGATTAAGATGACTACCACCAAAACGTGTGAAATAATACTTGAATGAATTAATTGTTTGTTGTTGTTTTTTCATAAAGAAGATTTTATTATAGGAGTGTGCCTAACTCTGCAGCTAATGTATAAATAATTTCCACTTTTTTCCCCATATATTCTATTCGATGAATACTGCTCAAACTTTTTTTTTTGTTTCTGGATAATGAAACCGTCTTGTCTTACATCAGTACTGATATATACATTTTTGTTAAGAATATTTAACTCTCCATTCCACAGTGTTTTTCTCTTAGTATGCAATATCTCACCAAAACCAAGAAAACAATAAGTTTTAATTACCAGCTGGCAAGTTTTTTTCCCCCCCTTTTTCTTTGAGTGACCTCTATGACTTTTCTTATGGCTCTCTCTTGCCCTGAGTGTTGGCCATGACTATTCAGCAGAAATATCCAGGAACATGTGCTGGTATTGAGAATTTAATGAGGCTTTGCTGGAGGGGCATTATCCAGTTAGTTTAAGTGCTGTGTCTGGCCTCTCTCCAGTTTAGAGGCAGTGTTGATGGTAGAACAATGCCATGGTGGTTTTTGGAGAACATGCAGGATAGGATACACTGTGAAGGCAAAAATGTCCTATGAAGGTCTTTGAGGTACTTTGAGGTCATTTTTAAAAGACTTTTCTGATTTCCTGTAAATGTGGAAATTAGCTTTATGAAGGCCTTAGGACAGTTAAACATGTTTTAAGACAAAATCGTGAATACATGTAGAGTTTTTATAAATAATAAAAATGCATTACATTTATATTATTATTTTACTGTATCATGAACTATTGTTTTGATATTTGTACAGTTGTATTTTAAAAGCTGTTTACTTCCATTCTAGATGCTAATTTAGCACTATTGAATTGTGTGCATGCTCATTAAAATCTAAGCTTAGACAAATGTTCAGTTTGTGTGCTTCTTTAGGTAAAGCATTGACTTGTTTTGAATTAAGCTATCCCCTAACATTTGCTAGTCTGTTTAGTAGTTTCAGCTTTCTTTCTTTCTTTCTTTCTTTCCCAAGGGTCTTTTATTTTGATGTGAATAGGTCTGTAATGTTGAAGGAGCTGTTTAAAGGACAATGTCAAGTCAGCTTTGATTTGATTATATTTTATACAATAAAATTGTGTAATTATTAAAATGTTATTTTTGGTATTTCTCTTAGTGGATAAGTGGTGGTGGTGGGGGGTAATGAACCGTGTGATATAGTAATAATATGATATTCTTTAAAATTCATTTGATTACCATGCAATTCAATAATTTTATGAGATGCTGTGTCACAATGAAATGCACTTATTTTGACCTTCCATTTCCTATGTGACGAATGATTGAGAAGCAACCAAGAAGTGGTTTTACATTTTTTGACTCACTGCTTGATCGGACAATGAAAAGTTGACCTTCTTTTTCTAACTGTATACCACTCACAACTTGAACATACAATGCTATACTTTTAAAATGACTTTATATAGCTTTTCTATAGCTTTAAAATGTATTTAAAAATATATATGTAGCATGCCATTAATCCATTTGGCCATAGTTCTGATTAAAAAAGAAAATGCTACATCAGCCATTTCCTCTCCATGTTCCCTGAATAGTGTGCCACGTGCTGTTTGCTATATAGTCTATGAATGCCTTAGAGTTGAAGGTAAATCATGGTTTTATATGAGTAAATAAAGATTAGTACAGATCGATTTAGTCCTCAGGCATGAGAGATATTGCTGAGGATGGGAATATTTGATATGCTTTTATCTCTCAGATGACGCCGGGTTCTCGACACACACAGACTTTCATCTCACTTTTAAACCACTTACAAAATCATGCAATGCGTGCTGTTGTGCTTGGCAACTGTATTATATATCGGCTTATATTTTATCTGAAATAATAACAATGATATTTAATTGTAATTGTTATATTTTGCAGTTATTGCAGATGTAGCCTACATCATTTTATGTAAATATTGCGTATTGTAATATCTATTGTGTCTTTTTTAAGCGTGATATTTGTTCCAGGTTACAGAAGTGGAATATCTGATGTTGCATGTGAGTGCGAGAAGTGAAGGGGAGGAGAAGAGAGGAGAGTGGGAGGAGGTGCGGGTGGGAGTCCCGCAGAAGGAGCGTTTCAATCCCAACATGAATTCCACCCGCAATCTCTGACTGACAACACACGAGCGATATAAGCAGACATCACGGTGCCTCGCGCAAGCGGATACTTTCTGAAGTCTTTCCCATCAGCGTCTGCTTGTTTTCCACGGATGCCCAGCGTCTTCCTCGTGACTTCAACATCGCCGCGAAACGGGATGAGGCGGTAAATGTCGCGTTTCGATTCTTTTCGCTCCGGTTGAAGCCGCAGGAGTATGTGATCATGTTGGCGACGCGCTGCCTCCTCCTGTGGGCTGCGGTCACCGCTCGACTCGCCGTGACAGGTGAGCGACGAACGCCGCGTTGGGAGCGGCTTCGTGATATTAGTACAAGCTCCATCGGTGTAGCTATTTATGTATATTGTGCGCCAACAGGTGCAAAGATTTCTTCGTTTTACGGATGGCCCCGTTTTCTGTCACGGGCATGGCTGTGAATTTTCAGCGTCGCGCCAGAATACGCAGTGATGCCGCAGGCTAGATAGAGTGTAGCGGCTGTAAACGCATAGGAATTACTAAAACAGAATCATGGCTTTGACGATTGTCTTACAGTTTTAATGAATGTGTCCTATATTGAAAGGCTGGGGCAGCAGCATCAAGCGGGACGGAGCGGAACGGGGACGCGAACAGAACGCGTATGCGGAGGAGCTCACGCAGCCTCAGCGGCTGCTGCAGCGGACTGACGCGGAGGAGGAGCTTCCGCACGGACACTTGGGTACTCTAGTAAAGACTGATGCTGATGGAGCGCATGTGAGTGTGACTCTCCACTGAAACATGAAATCAAAATCGACCCCTTTTACTTTCTTAATGCACATGTCCCTGGTCTTATAATGAACGATATATGTGAAAAACAAGCATCAACTTTTATCATAATATAATAGCCTAGCTTGCTCCCTCTCTGAAATTACTTTACTCTTTGGCTGATGTCACCAAGCTCTTCTATTTTCCATCCCCTCCCTTCCAAACTACCTGCCGAGTCCGAATTTGTGTACCATCAGAGTATTACTGCATTTGATGAAAACTTCTTTAGAGTTAATTATACATAATGTAGTAGTCCTACATTTGCCATTGTAGCACTGTCATGTGATCTACAACAATAGTTGCTTTATTTATTTATTCATTTATTTATTTATTGCCATTTACGAATATATCCACTTTCGTGGCCTCTGGGGATAGAAAAGTGCCAATCTTTCTACACTTTTGACATTTTTCCATTCAGACCACCATCCAGTCAGTTCCACTTTTTTTTCTTTTCTAGGTAAATACTCTTTCTCACTTTGAAACATAAAATTAAGCATGCTCAATGGGTTTTAAATGCTCTTTCATGTTTTATTATTTTTTAAAGTGGCCATGATTTGAAAATTCAAGTTTTGTGGCTTTTAGTGTGTGTTAATTAAATATTTTAGTTATTTTGATGCGTCTGGCTGCCAATAACAGTGTAATCTTCTCAGCTTTTTGCTCAGCTCTCCATCTGGCCCTGCGCCGGATGCATTCCAAGGTTCCAAATGTTCAAAAATCTCAGAATCTTCCAAATGCTATGGCATTTAATCCCAAGATTAGCACTAAATAAATATAATGGTATAACCTATTGCTCTAACTGCAATATACACATCTCCCTCAAATATTCTGATTAATAATTTACTGATATGTTTTTTTTTTAATCCCATAAATCATTGCATTTGACTATTAGGGTTATTAACATATTTACATGTTAATTCATTATCTTCTTTTGCGCGGTTAAATTGAATGTAGTTTCCTAAAGGACACGGCATTATGTAATAAAGACTATCATGCACCCCCATATCATGCAGTTCCGGCCTTGATAAATAACATTCTTAGCAATTTTCTTCCAAACCCCATTTGTCATGAAGGCTATAGAGCTGAGAGAGAATTGGCACTGAGCCCTTTTCAGAGGGGTAAAGTGCACATTAAAGGTTCTACTTGTAAATGTATACTTTAATGTAATATTGGCTTCTTGCTGTAGAGGAGGGTGGAATATTTAACAGTTGGGGGAAGAGTAAACGGGTCTGTCTCAGTGTTGGTATAGACTGAATCTGTAAAGGGTTAGTTCACCCAAAAATTCTGTCATCGTTTACTTAATCTTGAATCCTGAAATCTGAAACCTGAGAGGTTTCTGTCCAACCATTAAAAGTCCATGTAACCACATCGCCACAAATTCCCCACAGTAAAAGCCTTCTACTTGCAGGGGTACTCAGTCTTGAGATTCCATATTTGACAATATAAATATAAATATACAACATATTTGATGGGTTCTATGTTTGTGCATTGATCAATGTTTTATATGTGAGTTAAAGCCTAAATTAAATCATCATATGACGTGATTGAAGTTTTGGATTAAATAACTTGATTCATATGGATTAGGTTTACAGTGTTTTTATGGACTTTTGAATCATCAAAGTTTTGGTTATGGACTTTTAATTGAGGGACAGAAATCTGGTCTGCAAATCTTCATTTGCACTTCGAAGATGAACAAGAGACTTATTGGTTTTGAATGAAATGAGAGTAAATGATGACAGCATTTTCATTTTTGATTTTGAACAATTTAATAATACAGAATAATTAACTAATAATGACATTATTACAATTAAAATTATAATATACATTTTATAAAATTGTTACAACAAAGTATTGCATTTATACAGAGATTTTATAAATATAAGTTAATATCAAATACCTTACATTTCAGTTTCTCTACATTTTTTAATCCACCAACAAAAATAGTTCCAGAAGAAGGCAGGATATTACCTAATGGACATCATATGATACAGTACCAAAGGGCTACCACCAAAAAATGACATGACATTGAATGCTAATGCCAGACTAGTTGAAGCTTCAATAAACCCATTGTACAGATTAGATAACACAAGGATTGTTTGAAGAGTTCACTAATCACTCCGGGTTTTCCAGTTCTAGGCAAGGCAAGGAGTTTCATTTATTTAGCACATTTATACACAGTGGTAATTCAAACTGTTTGCTGTCCAGAAAAGGAGTTTAAAACAATCATGAAACAGATGCAACAGACATAAAATAACAAGAAGTTTAGTTTATCCTTTATTGTCTCACTATAGGGGAAATTTGTCTTGAGCAATCAGGAAAGCAGGTCAGCATACAACAATTCACTATACAACTACACTTCATTCCATCCGGAAAAAAAAGAAAATAATAAAAATGATTGAAAACTTGACATTTAATTGTATTAAAACTCTTAAGAGTAAAAAGACAGGAATACTTGAATAACATTAGTGCTATCAGTCGTACATAGCACAGTGCTCTACTTCACAGTCTCTATTTCTATTCCTCACTCAAATTGTGTTCCAGAATGAAACAAACAGAATCAAACACAGTGATACAAGCAGTAAGACAGCAATCATGGAACTCTGTTTGCTTAGTCAAAATAGAGGACTGGAACTAACTTGTATAAACGTACGTACCTCATTTTATTTATACTGTTAGGCGTTCAATGAAGTACTTTACTTTTATAATCAAAAGTTCATTTTACACATCCACCATCTTCACTGTCAGAAAATGTGCAAAAACTGTTTTAGGGTACAACAGCTGTCACTGGGACAGTACCCTTAAAAGGAAAACTTTGTATCTTATCTTAATATTAGTGAAGTTGAAATATACTGTATACCCTTATTATTATGGTATTAAGGTATTATGAACTTTTTAGAGATAAATATGCCACTTAGAGGGTAGTGCCCCAGTGACAAGCAGTTTTTGCACATTTTTGTTGGAAGATTTTTTGACTGAACTTGTTGCAGTGGCTTGATTGCTCTGCAATTTGATCTAAATTATATATCTTAGATGACAGCATAATTTTGCTACTTTAAACAGTCTGTGCATCAGTCCACATATTAACTGAAATAAATCATGATTTCTGGTTAATTTGTGAGGTTGAACATTGATTCTTACTCTTATTTGTTGACGTTGTTATTGGTAGAGATACAGTAATACTGATTTGCTATTGCTGATGTTATTGATTACTATTTGTATCATACATGTAATTTTTGGCACCAATGACAGTCCCTCTTCCTATGACTTAAAGGAATACACTCTAAAAAACGCTGGGTTGGGAACGCAGAAGTGAAAGAGAGCACGCACGTCACGTTAAACATCGGACGACACCAGGGCTGCGTTCAGCCCCAACAAAAACGGTGCAAAACGTTTTTTAAACGGAAACGGTGGTGCGTTGAACACCCTGTTCTGATGACGCAAGAGTTGCAACTATGGCAGCTGAGAAGGCCATTCTTTGTGCTCTTTTTGAAGAATTTTCGGAGCCTGATGAAATCGGTTTAAATACGTGTTTAATACTGCAAAATACGCTGGATGGTACAGTCATTGCCCTTGCCCTCCAGAATAAAAGAGAACATCCCAATCAAATGAATAGATTTGTGGAAACTGTGGTTCCTAATATTGTGATCCAACATTTGCCTCGCATTTCAGGATGAAAAGACAAACATTTCAGGTGAAGGATAATCCACTTCTTACCTCCAAGACTGTGTTATGATCTATATGACCTTATTATTTTTATTGTGAATATTAAGCTTATCATTATTGCTGATCACTGTTGTTGTGCTATGCTATTATAATATTTGCCATTATCAGAGGAGTATAGAAACGTTTATGAAAGTGTCACTCCATAATACAATAGCAAAATATATAAATATGTATAGTATTTTTATGTTACATTAATCAGTGTCTAGCACACCTTCCTAAGGAAAGGATATGGACCAGAAGACATTGCAATTACTAAATGATATTTAGACAGACTTAAAGAAGTTCCAGATCTATACTTGTGCCCTTATTATTTCAGTTATATTTCCTTTAATGTAAATAAACATGTGCAAACAATATACTTGCTCTTGTGAATTTATTTGGATGTTAATTACATTGTAATGTAAAGTCATCATTCATTGTTTGAGTCCGGTAGTATTTTAAGATCTCATGGAAGGCGGAAATATTCCGGAAAGAGCTTGTATTGAAAATTATGCGGACGCGGATTTCGCCTCAGAAATAGTCTTAACGGCCTCTTTTACCGAACGGAAGAGGTGCTTTTAATATAACGACAGTGAGTGTCTTATGTCATATTTACATAAGATTTTACAATATTTAAATTTTTAAAGGTGTTAAGAGAGGGTTATTAACATATTTACATGTTAATTCATTATCTTCTTTTGCACGGTTAAATTGAATGTAGTTTCCTAAAGGAAACGGCGTTATGTAATAAAGACTAGCCTAATTATTTTGAGGCTGATGAAGTGATAATTGTTAAAAGTAATGTTTTGCATGTTATATTTCAGACTTGTTGAGCTTTGTGTCTTCATTGTGCCCGCGCCGGGAGAGAGTAAAAGAATGTTTGTTTTTGTAGATGTTGAAAGCCAGAGACATAGGAGAGCATCATTCTTTTGAGATTGATGTGTTATTTTTTAGAAAATAAATGTTTCTGTTGTCTCCTGCCTTTTTATCTCACATTTTGATGCAACAACAGTATGATTACGTGTTAATATTTGATTTAAACCATTGATGTCCGTGTTTTTCATTGCAGAACTCAAACCAACTTTAGAGTTAACAACACAGAACCCTGCTTGTGTGAGGAGGCGATTTTCTCAGCTTCTTCGGAAGAGAGGGAAAGACGGTTTAAGGCAAGTAAACTGAGAAGGGTGTTCCTGCACAACTGGAGGCTGCAGTTCTAGGACCCTATTCTTTTGTAACAGCGCCACCTACCG